GTGAGTGAACAGTCCATCTCGGAGGGTCCAGCCCAGCAGACACCACATGGAGACCAGCTATCCCTGGCGTGCCTTGACAGAACTCCTGACCCATGGAATCCTAAGCGATAATATCATGGTAGTTGCTTTGGGCCAAACAATACAAAACAAAACACAACCAAAAAAACCGAAAGCATTCATCTAAGGGTACTTAGTGGGTGCTGTGGATTGAATCAAACCCCCCCAAAATTCCTATGTAGAAGCCTAACCCCCATGGGATGGTGTGAGGAGGTGGGGCCCTTGGGAGGTGATTAGGTTATGAGACTGAAGCCCTCAGGAACGGGATCGGTGCCCTTATGAGAAGAGACATGCTCGTTTCCTCTCTTTCTCTCTCTCTCTCCACCGCCCCCCACCTCATGTGGGGACACAGCAAGAAGACGGCCATCAGTAAGCCAGGAGGAGAGTTTTCACCAGGAACCAGATCAGCCTTGATTTTGGACTTCCAGCCTCCAGAGCTGTAAGAGATAAATGTCTGTGGTATTTTATTAAGGCATGCTGAGTGGATGGACACAGCTGTCAAGTAGCCAGCCTGGGATTTGGATGCAGGTCTTCTGTCCTATTGACTGGGTTCAAATCCCAACTCTGCCACTTTCTAGCTGTATACCTTTGGCAAGGTGCTTCCTTTCTGTGTGCTCAAACCCCTGAGATCATCTCGAATGTCCTCTCTCCGATAACCAATATCCAATCCATCTACGAATCCTATTGGAAACAGCTCTTTTGCTTCTGCTTGTCCTTCTGTCCTCGTCCTTCTATGGTTTTTTTCTTCACACGGTATTTAAAATGAGCTTTTCAAAATACAAGGCAGATCAAATCAACCCTGAGCTTGTACCTGTGAAAATCTGTCTCACTTGGAGTGACATTTGAAACCCTTGCCATGTCTTCCAGATCCTGTAAGATCTGCCCCCTGCCCACACGTGTGATGGGGCTGATGGGGGACAGCCAAGCGCAGTCCTACCTTAGGGCCTTTGCACTTGCTCTTCCCTCTCCCTGGAGCCCCCTCCTTCCTGAGATCTGCCATTTGGCTCCCTCACTTCCCTTGCATCTTGGCACAAATGTCACCTCATCAAGAAGGATCACAGAACGATGTACATAAAGCAACACCCCTGCGCTCCCTCCCCACCTCTCCCTGCCACTCTCCACCCTCTGTATTCTGCTTGCTTTTCTTTTCTTTTTTAAAAGATTTTATTTATTTATTTGAGGGAGAGAGACTGAGAGAGACAAAGAGAGAGAGCATGAGCGGGGTGAAGGGCAGAGGGAGAAGCAGACTCCCCGAGGAGCAGGGAGCCCGATGTGGGACTCGATTCCAGGACCCTGGGATCATGACCTGAGCCGAAGGCAGATGCTTAACGACGGAGCCACCCAGGCGCCCCTATATTTCTTTGTTATGTGAATGTTAACCTCTGAAATACAGGCTCTGTGTCTTTCTGGTACCACCGTTTCTGTCCACAGAAGCTAGAACGGTGCTTGGCATCAAACAGGATGCTCAATACACCCCCCTGCTGAATGAAGAAGTGGGCCTCAGTGTCCTCATCTATAAACTGGAGGTAATAATAACATCCCTCCAAGGGTTGTGATGTTAGTAATATCAAATATATACATTGAGGGCTTTTTACTTGCCAGGCGCTGTTCTAAGCACTTTGCCTTAATTCATTTAGTCCTCATGACAACCTAGGAGATAGGAGCTATCACTACCCCTATTTTATAGAAGAGTAATCTGGGGCACAGAGAGGTTAGGTCACTTGCTCAAGGTCACACAGCTTGTAGGTGGCAGAGAGAAAATTTGAACCCAGACAGGTTGGCTCCAGAGGCCAGTTTAAAAATCCTTCCTGGTCAGAAAAATAGGTCACATGAGGAAAGAGCTTAAAACAAGGTGTGATGGGTCACCATATAAAAATGTTGGCTATTATTATTGTTCTTGCGACTGCCTGTCAGCTAAAGGAAGCTCATTTTGGAGTAAAGAGCTAAAGGGAGATGTCACAGCCACTCTGGATGGGTGCTGGCTGTCCCAGCCCGGCCAAGTTTCCTGGATAAATCTGGTGTGTGGCTGGAAGGCAGTGTTTGCCAGCACTCCTTAAAGGCTGGCTAAGGGCTGGTTAGCACTCCAGGACTGTGCCAAAAAGCCAGACACACTGCAATGAGGAGAAAGACAGCTGTGCCTCCTCCTAGGATATTCCTTGGAGAACACAAACCTGATTATTGAGGACCCCCGCTTATAACGCTCCATGGCTCCCCACTGCCCTGAGGACAAAGCCTAAACAGCTTACCCAGCCTTCTCCATGTGGCCCTGTCTACACTGGAGCCATATGGCCACCTCGCGTGGGCATGAGGCTCCCGCTCACTTCTGCACAAGCTGGGCTTTTCCTTCCCCATCTTACCTTGCCACTCCTTCCCTGAGCTTCCATGGATCACCTCCCCCAAATCTATTCTGCTTTGGGGGTGACCTTGTGACCCAGATTGTGCCTACCGTCTAGGATTCCCATGAGCTTCCAAGTAAATCAGTGTTTCTCAGTGGTGTGGGACCCTGAGGGGGTCCCCAGAACACTTCCAGCGGCTCTGTGAAGTCGAAACTATTTTCATACTAATACTAATACATTATTTGACACCTTTGCTCTCTACCAAGTGTACAATGGAGTTTTTCCCAAGGCTCATGACATGTGATTTGCAACAAATGAGAAAAATGCAGTGATCTTTTCTTGAGCCAGGTGTTAAAGAAATCTATTAAAAAAAATAAAGAAAATGCCTTTCTTCTCAGTAATTAAAAAATACAATTAAAGAAAAAATTAAAAAATGTTTCATTAAGATATGTTATTAATGTTAATGTATAATTGGCTGATTATTTTTAATTAATTAGTATTATACAAAGGTCAGTTTTTTTAAAGTTTTATTTATTTAAGTAATTTCTACACCCCACATGGGGTTTGAACTCATGACCCCAAGATCAAGAGTTGCATGCTCCTCTGACTGAGTCAGCCAGGTGCCCCCAAAAGGTCAGAGTTTTAATTTCTATGACAGTGAATGTGGATAGCTATAACTCATATAAAGAGAAGCTCCTTGGATCCTCAATACTTTTGGAAAAGTGTGAAGAGGACCTGAATCTAAAACATTTGAGAACCTCTGAGAAGCACCTGTCACAGAGTAAGTGCTCAGTAACTATTATGTGTGTTTCTTGGACTAGGCTGTGAGCTTCATGAGTGCAGAGAATCATATCCTGTTCACCATCTTTCGCCTATGCCTAGTCAGAGTGAGTCCCTAGTTGCTGGCTGCTACCCTATCCTTTCTCACCTACTTCTTTAGTCCTACAGTCCTCAGCTTTGTAACTGGATGCACAACTATCTTTTTTTTTTTTTATTCTTATGTTAATCCCCATACATTACATCCTTAGTTCTAGATGAAGTGTTCCATGATTCATTGTTCGTGCACAACACCC